CCAAACCACACATATGGTATTGTCCACTCCCAGTGGTTTGACCTACATCCCAGTGGGGTGTCAGTTGATAGCTTACCAGTTTCTGAAATACCTAATCGTTTACCAGATTTTTTATCTCTTTTGAAGGGATAATGACCACAGTTTATTCATGCCCAACAAAATACTCTAAGTTGATAATTATATTCCACCTCATGTGAAAGATATGAGTTTTTTCTAAGGAGGGCATATCTTGTGACATCTGCCCCTGTCTATCAAGCCTGGCATGCCCAGGCCAATTAGCCACCCCAGGGGGCAACCCCTGTATGTTGTTGTTGTTTTCCTGAGCAAACCGGTGGCACCGGGAACTGAAGAAGGACTGTTTGAACGGACAAAATATACGAAAAAAATGTGAAATAATGACACAAATGTGTTGAAAAGTGATAGCAACTGCTAATAACACCGAAATTTAGTATAATTAGAATATTTCAATTTTTTGCGCAAAAAACTACATAGAGTGCCTTTAAGAAAACGCTGCGTTACTGATGGCATTGAATTATAGTGTATTATTAGATTTGCTAAGAGAGGATAGGAATCATTGTGTATTTAGTACAATTTCTAATGGAAAAACGAGGAAATAACGTTAGAATCACACAAGAATTTGTTATTCCAAGGAAGAAAGAGAAAGGAGAGGGGAAATTATTCTACGTGTATAGTAAGTCACTATTACGGTACGACACGCCTCTAGTATATATAATGGTGCCCTGTTTTAGAAAGAATTTCTTTGTATCTCCAGGATTTTATGATGTCTACAGGAACCGAACCTTTGTGTGGACGGACGGCATTCCTGTGACGTATACGGACTGGTAATTACATAAGTATTCTAATCAAGTAATCCCGCGCGCAGGTGGAGAAACAGAATAAAACAGATTAAGAAGCAGGTGTTATAAACAGGTGAGACAGGTGAGGATAGTCATGTGCCTTCAGCCCTATAAAACACAAAGTATAGAGAGATACCACGCAGTACGTGAGGAGGCAGGACCGCCGAGAGATGGCTCAGCGACCGCAGGCGCCTCGTGCCCTCCAGCCCCGCCCGCCCCCACCGGCACAGCAAGTACCCGTGCAGCCACCGGCCGC